TACTTTAATACTTCTTTTTTTGGGGAAATTATCAAAGAAAGTAATATGCTAGATCAAATTCCAGTATGAGTTTCTAAACAAAAGAATGTTTATACTTAATATGTACTATCACCAATTTTGATTTATAAAAAACTGTATGGTCAGAGTTTTTTTTTTAAACTTCACTGTGCAACAGGCAATTTTTTCAGCATAAGATATTGTTATTTGACTTGATATTATTTCGTTTACAAATCAAACCCCTAGAAAAGATTTTGGTTTATACGTCATAAAGACTCCAATATTTTGAGTAATATTTCGCAATGTAGAGTTATTAGATTTTGTATAGATATTTGAATTATTTTCAGAATCATTGATTTAAAAATGGATCATCTGGGTCGGTTTTTGTTATACACTAATTTCGAGTATTTTTTACGTTTTAGTCATATTTTCTACAAAATTATTATACCCTACACCACATAGTGGTAAGGGTATTATTATGTCTTTGTGCATTTGTTGTTTACTTTTGAGGATCTTCATAGAATCTTTTTCTGAGTCGATTTATGCCTGTCAGTCCGTCTGTCCAAGTATTTTTGTGAACAAAATACAGGTCGCATTTATAATTCAATTGATATAAAATTTTCCAAACAATATTTGTTTGGCCCAAGGACGAATCCTATTGAAATTGGTGAGAATGGGTTTAGATAAAGCTCCCATATAGCTTCAACCGATTTCGGGTTAATTGTGCACCAAATGACCAATATCAGTCCAAATGACCTGAATTTTGGCACATCCAACCGAATTCAGTCTAGAAGCAAGTACATCAAAATATGTATGTTTCAACCGATTTTGGTGATAAAGTATCAAATGAAACTAATGGAACTCAAAAACACCTCTGTTTATTGAAATCGGATCAGACAAGGTTTAGTGATATTAGCCCAAATTGACTGAATTTTGGAAATTTTGACTGAACTCATCCTAAAAACAAGTACTTTAAATTTGGTAAAAATAGGTTCAGATACAGCTATAGCTCCCATATATATATGCTTCAGCCGATTTGGTGTAAAAGTCCCTCACATGCGTAATATGCACTCCACAACAAGGATATTTGATACCGGACAACAGATACAGCTCGAAAATACCTCCGGCGAATTTTATCGAGATCGGTTCAGGTTTTTTATAGCTTCGATATACAGGGTTAGATAAAAAAACTGCAACAAAGTCAAATGCCATAATTTTTACATTTTTTTTTTTAAATTTTACCGAAATAGAAATAATGTCGGAAAGCATCAAATTTTACAATAAGTTCAGATTTGTTCGAATTGGTCACCTTTGGCACGAATTTTGGTCTTCAAACGGTCAATGAAACCGTCACACGCTGTCCAAATGTTGCTCTGCGGTATTTTGCCCCATTCGGTATTTTGGCCCATTTTCGGCGAAGCAAAAGGTGATCGACACTTTGGTATTTTTTAGTGCCAACCTTGCTTTCCCATAATACTACAGACACAATAGTCCAACGGATTGGTATCCGGAGATTTTGGTGGCCATTGTGTGCTGGAAATGAAGCTAGGAACCTCATTTTGTAACTATTCTTGGGTGGCGCTTGCTGAGTACGATGGCGCTGAGTCCTGTTGGAATGTCCAAGGTCTGCGGCCAAAATGTTTGAGTGCCCAAGGCTTTAATACACCCTTCAGAATATTTTCGCTATAATTTTCGCCATTTATTCTGATGCCACGGTCGATTAATACGAGCGGAGAGCGACCATCGGCTGTTATGGAGGCCCACACCATCACCATGGCCGGCGCTTGAGTTCTGGTGGCCAACCGAAGGTGCACATTTTCAGCTGACCTCTTTGGCAAGTAAACACGATCATTTTGTTTGCTGGACAACCACCACTTTCGGCCAAGCGAATAGCTCTTCTGAGTCTATGTTCTTTTTGTTGTGGTGTAAGTTCTTGCACTTTTAGGAATTTCAATGGCTTTACTCCGAGCTCATTTTTCAATATTTGGCGAATGGAATATATGTTCAGCTAACGAGCCATTTTTCGGCCACTGCGACGCGGGTTTCCATTGAAATATGTAAGTGGTTTGGAAATGCGTCTCATATTTGTAAGAAAAGTACTAAATAGTACAAATGAGTACTAAATTGTACGAAAAGTACTAAATGTTACTATATTTGGTTTTAGGTAAATGTGTATCAAAATAGTCTAAAGCCGTTTAATCGAAAGACCTAGGCGGCCAATTGATTGGTTTCGAAAGGTCCAGTAACGTCACCAGTCAATCCAAAAACCGCACGAAGCATTGACTTTTTCTGGCTAATCTTTACTCTAAAATTTCAAATTTGCTTGTGGCTTCCACTCATCTTCACCAACTTCATGGTTTTTGGGTTCCAAATAAAACTTTAACTCAATATTTAATAATTTCGATATTTTTACACTTTTATTCGATATTTTTTGAAAAATAAAAGATTCAAAAACTTTATAAAATTCTTATGAAATGTCGACTACAGGCTTTCATGAAATGATGGCGTATTATTGCTAATGTTCGGATTCGATGTGAGATGAACTTTTGATGATTTAACTTATGCTTCTAAATGAACTCGTGGTTTATTTTGTGAACGAATATTGGAAACGATGCTTTTGATTTCATTGGTGGCCTTGTCCTTGACCACATACGAATGTACAACCTCATAGGGTGTATGGGGACCGGGAACATGTGGCACCTTATTGTGTGTTTCGAGATGATGTCTGATGACTTGAGGCAGATGCTCCTCAATTTGTGATACAATAACTTCTGCGGGGGATTTTGGTTGGACACCGGTGGCTTTGCTATGGGGATGTACATGTAAAACGGTTTGTACAACGGTGGGTTTTTCCGAGGGTCCTTGATGCACGACATGATGATGGCCCACTTGAGAAACAACGCCTTTGCCTACAGCTTTTTCTTGACGTTCCTGTTTCTTAACAACAACTGGGGAAACGACAACTTGTTCGTCAACAACTTGTTGATTTACTTCGGGCGCCACAACACTTTTCTCTGTGGGTTTGACTTGGCTGGCAACATGATGCTGTACGACTACGGGAACATGTTGCTGAACATGGTCGACAACTTTTTGGACTTTGTCGGGTACATCCACTACTTTCTTCTCAACCACGTGATTGGCCAAGTGGTTTTGCACCACAACTGGAATATGTTGATGTACCTGAGAGACCACATCTTTGGCTTTGTCAGGAACTTCAACAACCTTCTTTCCGACGACATCAGGAACCACAGTTGCAACATCTACATCTTTTCTCTGCTTGTCAACATGTTGCTGAACAACAACGGGTACATGCTGCTGGACCTGATCAACTACTTTCTTGACTTTGTCAGGGACTTCCACTACTTTCTTCTCAGCCACGTGATTGGCCACATGATTTTGCACCACAACTGGGACATGTTGATGAACCTGAGCGACGACATCCTTAACTTTGTCAGGAACTTCAACGACCTTCTTTTCAACGGCAACTGGGACAACAACTGGAACATCGTCAACTTTTCTTTGCTTGTCAACATGATGCTGGACGACAACGGGTACATGTTGCTGGACCTGGTCAACAACTTTCTTGACCTTATCGGGAACATCTACAACCTTTTTCTCCACCACCTGATCGGCTACATGTTGTTGCACAACAACTGGAACCTGTTGCTGAACCTGTGCTACAACATCTTGAACTTTTTCGGGAAGAACATCGGCAACAACCTTCTTTCCCACGACACTTGGGACAACTTGCTTTTCGCTTGGTTCAACATGGCCGACAATTACGGGAACATGTTGGTGAACCACTTTTTCAGGGACCTCCACCGCTTTCTTGTCCACAACCTGGTTGGCCAAATGATGTTGTACGACAACTGGTATATGCTGGTGAGCCTGGGATACGATGTCCTTAACCTTTTCAGGAACCACAACTTCTCCCACCTTCTTTTCAACGACACTTGGAATAACAGCTGGAACATCCACTACCTTATTTTCCTTTGCCTGAACATGGCTGGCAACATGATGTGCAACCACAATAGGAACATGCTGATGAACTTGGGACACAACATCCTTAACTTTGTCCGGAACTTCTACATTGCCGACCACATTTTTTCCAACTTGGTTCGAAACATGATGCTGAACGACAACGGGAACATGTTGTTGAACTTGAGCAACAACTTTTTCAACTTTTTCGGGAACATCTACAACTTTTTTCTCCACAACTTGTTGATTGGCAACATGTTGTTGAACATGGGAAACAACATTTTCCTGTTTTTGTTGTTGCTGCTGCTGGATAACATGTTGCAGCACCAGGGGAACATGTTGCTCAACTTGTTGCATTACCTGTTGGACCTGTTTCTCTACCTTTTTAATTTTTTCTACAATTTCCGGTGCCAAGGGAACATGGACTTGTGAGACCTTTTTGGCATATTCTTCCACTTGTTGGGCCAACGAAACAATGTCTTGCACAAATTTATCACTAACCTTGGAGGTTGATATTTGATCTTTCATTTTTTGGAAATGTTCCTTTACCATTTTGACTAATTTGCCAACTTGTTGCACAAATTCATCGCTCAATTCTTGGGGCTTTGGCATGGCAGGCACAACTTGTTGCATTTTCTTCATATGTTCATTGACTTGTTGGGCCAGTGCCTCAACTTGTTGGTGTTGCTGGCTTTCAGCTGTTACCTTGGCGTTTTCGGCTTGTTTGCGGTTGTGCTCGGCAACTTTTTGCGCCAATGCCTCAACTTGTTGCACAAACTTGTCGCTGAACTGATGAGGCTTTACCGAAGTACTCTCCACTGTTAGACCTGTACGTTCCTTTACTTGTTTGGCCAGTGCTTCAATTTCTTGTATAAACTTCTCACTGAACTGGTGGGGTCTATGGGTGGTGGCCACAACCTCGTCAACTTCATCCTGCAATTGTCTTGCCCGTTCCTTAACCTGTTCGGCGAGGTCTGCAGCTTGCCTGGCAAATTTTGGACTGAAATGGTGTGGTGGCTGAATTACCGTTGAGGGTGTGGACACATCCTCTTGGCCCCAAGCCATACCCATACAGAGAAGACCTAAAATAATCAAGAGTTAAGGGACAATTTTAAAATTTCAAAATAATATTCATTGTCGTCATCATATATTTACCCAAAATCACAAAAATACTCATGTTTATCCTCGCTTGCTGTAGTCGTATCTTTGAGGTTGTACGAATAATTTTCATCGACTGCATCATTTCTGGATAATGCCATTGGCATTTATACGCTTGCGCAAATCTTTTGTTTGCTAAAATGTTGTTTTTGTTGTTGTACGCAAAATTTTAATTTAATTAAATCTTTACCCAGTTATAGCGAGAAGGAACGTTAAAAGTTCTCTTTGTTTATTTTTGGATACAGATTTGTGTTCAGACTTACGAGATATCTTTATTGCAGTTTTATGTAAATATCTGAAATTTCTGTTGCCAATAATTAGAACGTTGTAACTCCTTGTTAACGTATTTTTTTTTGGGGAGAGAGGTATCTGTAAATTCAGAGCACATGCGTAAATGAAATTGGTACGTTTTTTTTTCTTCAAAATTTTGAATTTTTATGGAAAATTCTGACATAAAATTTGAAATGTTGATTAAAATTTGCTCAGAGATTTCTTGAAATCCTATATATATTAACAAAAGAGTAAAGTGATTGACTGACTGACTTCATCAACGATTAAACGAATCGGTTGGGGCTTGAAATTTTGGCTGAGGGTCCGAAGGGGTCAGATAAGGCTGTTTTTATACCCTACAACACTATGTGTTAAAGGTATTATAAGTTTGATTGGGCCAGAATTTATGTAACACCACCAAATATTGGTTTCCCACATAGGAAAGTATATATGGATCTTCCTAGCTCGCCGAGCTGAGTCGATCTAGCTATGTATGTCCGTCCGTCCGTCTGTCCATGTTAATTTGTAATCACTCTACAGGTCGCAATTATGGCCCGATCTTCACGAAATTTAGAATGTAGGTGGGGTTAAGGTCAGCATAGAACCCTATTTCTTTTGGAGATGATCGCATAATATTTAGGGGTCGAAAAGGACCAAAAACTGAAAATATTCCTGATTTTGCAGTTGCTCTACAGGTCGCAATTATAGACCAATCGACGCGGAATTGCGCATGTAGCTAGAGTTTAGGGCGGGGAAGAAGCCTACCAATTTGGGTGGTCATCGGATAATATTTAGCGGGTAAAATAAATCATATCTTTTGTGTTTAAAAAATTCAAAATTTTTCATTAAACCGCGAATATTTTAAATCCCGGCGAAATCAAAAGCCATGAAAAGGTTACTTCTGATCTTTACATTGATGTTAACATCCAACAAAACGGATATATAGCAAAATATGTGCGATATCTATGTCTATCAAAGAAGATATGCTTAAAAGATCTCTTATATGTCGATAACGGCTGAACTGATTTCGACAGTTCTCATTAATTCAAAATGGCCTCTTGGCAGGAAAGAAAAAACTTCTATAAAATTGCATAAAAATATCTGTCTAAAGATGAAAATATTGATTTTGTAATATTTTCTCATATTTTTTCAATTTTGTCATATTTTTGGCATTTGAATTAAACATTTGGTAATATTTCTACAGCTAACAAAACTAAGTAGTTAGGATATCAGGATATCATATACAGATCGCATTTATGGCCCGATCCTTACGAAATTTTGCATGGGGATAAGATGAGGGTCAGAATAGAATCCTACTCTTTTTGGAGATGATCGCCATATATTTAGGGGTTGAAATGGACCAAAAACTGCAAAATTGTCAGCAAGTCGTAATTATCGCCCGATCGCATTTGAATGGAGGATACCGGACATTGCAAAAGCAAAATAGTTTTGGATGGTCATCCAAAAATATTAAATGTGTGAAATAGTTTGCCAACTTTTGTAGACAAAATACGAAAATATCCATTCCAGTGTCTTTTTGGAGAATTCACAAATACAGGAAAGACGCACTTCTGACTATTTCGTTAAGGCTGATTTCGTTGAAGAATATAGTCAAATGGCTGTATCTCATATAGATGCGTTTCAGTCAAAAACCAATAATAAATGTTAAACTTTTGCCACTTCTGAGAGATCATAGGTCTTTGGGAGATATTGGTTCCAGATCTAGGAAGACCATTTACGTGCAACATCTACCAATAAATTGGAAATGAGCAAATTCGTTCAAGTTTCTATTATTCGAAAATTAGAACGAAACCTGATGATTTTCTTTTATTATTTGTCACAATATCTTGTGGAATTCTTTCGAGTATCTGGCCTATATAATCTGTATCGTTTATTATAGTATTGTAGGGTATTCAACGGTCGGCCCCGCTCGACTGTAGCCTTTGCTTACTTGTTTTTTTTTAAATTCGTACTAGAGCTGTACGAAAAATATTAAAAGTTACTAAATATGGTACCCTTGGTGTTTGTTGGTCACTGATGGATTTTATGATAGATTGGCCAAAGGGTTTTTGAAAATGCCCACTAGTGTACGAAAAGTACTAAAATGTACTAAATTAGGTACCATTTCGCATCATGTGAACAGATAGAGCTAAAAACTTGACATTTGGAATGGGAATCAAGGTTGAGAAGTAGAGTCAATGTTAGGAGGTAATTTTGGAAGTGTACACGAAAGCACTGAACGGTACTAAATTTAGTACAATTTGAATTTGAAGGAACGGATGAAGCTGGAATCCTGAAATGTGAAATTAACATTGCTGGTGGAGTGTAGAATTGGGTTATGGAGAAAGTTTTCGAAATTTATATTTATGTGCACGAGAAGTACTAAATTTGGTACAATTTGGATTTGGGTGAACTAATCGAGGTGGTATCCTGAAATTGGAAATAAGATTACTTTCGAATATGTGGGTAGTTTTTTGAAATTTGTACTTTTATGTATAAAATATACTAAATAAAGTACAGCTTCGTATTTGGGCGAACCTACATATTTGGGATCCTAAAATTTGGAATTGAAATTACTTTGGGAGTGTATGATTGGGGTATGTAGGAGGCTTAGTAAATTTGGTACAAATTAGAATTGTGTCGAACCGATGGAGATGGAATTCTGAAAATTGGAATGAGAGTCACCGATGGAGTGCAGGATAGATGTACCAAAGAGTTTTTTTTTTTGAAAATTAAACATTAGGATAATGAAAAGTTTTAAAATGGTACTAAACTTCTAAATTAGTACCATTCAGTATTACGTGACGGATTGAGCTAAATATTTGGTATGAGAATAAAGGCTGGAAAGTAAGTTTATATATTTTGGAAATGTGTACTAAGTGTACGAACTGTACTAAAATGGTACTAAATTTGGGACACTTTGGTTTAGGGTGAATAGATGAAGCTATAATTTTGAAATTTTGTATTATTGTCCCTGTGATAGGTGCTAGGTCCGTGATAAAGAGGTGCTTTTGGAAATATGTGTCACAAGTGCACGAAAATTACTAAATAGTACTATATTTGGTACAATTAGGTAATGGGTAAAAATATAGTTCTTGGAATCTGAAATGTTGTATAAGGAACGCTGTTCATGTGTTGCCTGGACATATGGAGTTGAATTTAGAAATTCGTCCTATATTTGTACGAAAAGTACTAAATGGTACTAAATTTGGTATTGGGTGAAGGGATAGGACTGGAATCCTCAAATTTGATATTGAGGACTCCGTTGGCACGAAAAGTACTAAATAGTACCAAATTTGGTACAATTTAGTACTGTGTGAACTTATAGTGCATGAATCCGTAATGTGGTAATATGGTCGCTGTTCATGTGTAGCCTGGACATTTAAAGTTGGTTTCGGAAATGTGTACTATAATTGTACGAAAAGTACTGAACGGAACTACATTTGATATTGGGTGAATTGGGTATTTCTACAATTCTGAAATTTAATATTTAGATTACTGATGATGCCTGCGCTTGAGATTTGGCGGTGTTGTGGAAATATGTACTATATTTTACGAAAAGTAGTAAGTAGTACTAAATTTGGTATTGGGTAAAGGTTTAGGGGCGGAATCATCAAATTTGATACTGATGTCTTTGCTGGTATATGGAATTGAGATATGGAGATGGTCTTGTACGAGTAGTACTAAATAGTACTACATTTCTACTGTGTTTGAGATTTGGCTGTGGTTTGGAAATGCATGAAAATAGTTCTATGTTTGGTATTGGGTAAAGGAATAGATCCGAAATCCTGCAATGTTATATAGATGCCACTGTTGGTGTCAGTGGCTGAGAGTAGGAGCTGGTTTTGGATATGCGTACTAGATATGTACTAAATGGTGCCAAATTTGGTAATGGCGAAAATTAAAGAGCTGGTATTCTAAAATTTGATATTAAGGTAACTGTTGGTATCTGAGGTTGAGATATGGAGATTGTTTTGAAAATGTGTACTTTAACTGCCCGAAAGAAGTTAAAGGTTACTAAATTGGTATTGGATGAGGGGATAGAGCTAAAATCCCAAAATGGATGGACATTGATGTTTCTGTTGGTATCTAAGAGAAGAGAAGGAGGTGATTTTGAGAGAAGACGGTGGTTTTGGAAATTTATACTACGAACGCACGAAAAGTGCAAAATACCAGAAAATGTCCCGTTGGATGTTGGGATTGAGATAGAATTCTGAAATTTGGTATCGAGGTTACTGTTGCTGTATAGGTTGGAGAGAAGGAGGTGGTTTTCGACATGCGTAGAATGGTAATAAATTTGTGATTGGGTCTAGGGCAAAGCTGATATATTATTCTGAGACTTACAGGGTGAGATAAAAAAAAAATTCAACAAAGTCAAACGCAATAATTTTTACATTTTTTTAAAATTTTATTGAATGAAAGCAACAAATGTCGGATATAACATTAAATTATACAATAAGTTTAGATTTGTTCGAATCGGTCACCTTTGGCATGAATTATGGCCTTCAAACGCCAATGAAACCGTCACACGCTGCCCGAATGTTGCTCATTCCCGGCGTAGCGCTTGCTTGAGGTGATTGACACTTTGGAATTTTTTAGTGCCAACCTTGCTTTCCAAAATACTCCAGTCACAATAGTCCAACGGATTGGTATCCGAAGATTTTGTTGGCCATTGTGCGCTGAAAATGAAGCGAGGAACCTCATTTTGTAACCATTCTTGGGTGGCGCTTGCTGAGTGCGAGTTTTGTTGGAATGCCCAAGATCTGCGGTTAAAATGTTTGCGTGCCCATGGCTTTAATGCACTCTCCAGAATATTTTCGAGATAATAGTCGAAATTTATTCTGATGCCACGCTGATGAAAAAAGTGAAACCAACTTCAGACAGCTGTCATTTCAAAGCTACTCGTCCGACAGCTGTTAAAATTTTTCCAGTGACAGCTCATTATATTCTGGAGGGTGTATTAAAGCCTTGGGCACGCAAACATTTTGGCCGCAGACCTTGGACATTCCAACAGGACTCAGCACCATCGCACTCAGCACGCAC